AGTTGAAAATGTTAGTTGACCTCTGGTCTATAAAACTAGTGCATCAACTTATTAGTTAGTATTAGAGTTTGTTCTTCTTGTATGAGTAGAAAAAGAACTGACATGGGCAGGGTCCCTCACCCAGGATGAACATGTTTTAATATCACAGATGTGTAAACTGCAAGTGTATCAAGGCAGAGATACAGCAGCAAAATACATGGCTCTTGTCTCTGGATACTTCTTTCCCTTCATATCCTGAGAAACACTAGAAAAAACACTGTATATCTCCTGAAAAAAAAAAAAAAAGGTCAACTGGGGTGACCAGATGGCTCAGCAGGCAATGGCAGGTACCACCAAGATCAGTGATCTGAGTCTAGCATCCAGGTTTCATAGAGTGGAAGGAGAGATCTGACTCTCACAAGTTGTCATATGACATTCCAAAGCACAATCCCCACAAACTTACTTGACTGAATAATTTAAAAAGTAGCTAAATGTAATAATAAAATAGGAAAATAGGAAAGGTCCTTGCAAATTCCATGGCTTGCTTCATCTTGTCTCTAACTGGGGCTCTGGGTCCCTAATAGACACTGAATTTAGACTCAAATGCAGATTCTTTGCTAAAATTAAATTATGGAGTTAGCTTTACTCTCCAGAATTGTGGAGGGATGTGGATGCTTATCGCATTTAGAGAAAATGCATTTCCCTCGTTCTGACTTAATGTTTCTTCTTTCCCTTTCAGTTCCCTTACTGATTCGAAGTCAGGATTTTTCTTGCTTTCTTTTTCCAAAGCCCCTCCACAATAATTCAACAAAATAGAAAAGTGCTTTTGTTTGTGGGAAGAGGGTGGCAGAAAGAGTGGTGAAGGAAAGCTTTGGCTTTGCATTGGGGAGTGCCAGCATGTGTACAGAACTGACTCCATAGCCCTTATTCTACAGACTTCTTTTTCCTTCTCATTGGTAGAAATGCCAATAGACACAGCTGTTGGGCCACAGGTGCAACATCCATTTCAGCACTTCATCAGGTGACCAAACCATGTCTGACAATTCACAAAGGTTGTCGGCTTCTGTTATGACCCCAACCAACCCCTGCAACTGCCAGAAAAGACCAGACTTACATTTCCAGACCACTCTGAAAAGAGCCCTTGCAAGGTAAAGACAGCCATTTCACTATGCTTCTAGTTTAATTGGTGTATAAGGTACCGGCTTTTAAATTACATAGACTTGAGTGCAATGCTCCTTTTTCCTTGACTTTTTAAAAAATCTGCTTGTCATTTTTTACCTTCATATAATAAAAACTAATAGAACTGTACATTGTTTCCTAATATCTGACACAAAATCACCCTGTTATATACTTGTATTCTGAGGTCTGGCAGGCATCGGTGTTCTTGGACACTGTCATTGTTTGTGCTGGGGACTATATGATGAGTGAAGCCATTGGGATACAGATGGTAGGTTTTCTGGTGTTTCTCAGTGGGTGATTGAAATCTGGGGAGTGAGTGATGTAGTTCTTGTTAAGGGTTGCCAGGACAGAGAGACGCTAAGCAACTGGGTAGGTGGCTATTAGGTATGGTCTTCAGCTGACAGCACTCACCCTAGCCCTTCTCACCTTTGAGCTTGACATTGTGGAATAGACCATGCTGTGTCCAGCTCTCCAACCTTCTGAGATTCCAATGTTGCCACCAACCTGGTTGTTAGTACCTTTTTCCAAAACAGCAAGAAACATACAAGTGAAAAAAGTGGCTAGCTTCTAGCCAGGAAGCCTATTTTTAAAATTTTCTTTTCTTTTTCTTTTAAAATTCTGGCTCTAAAGAGTACTTAACAGAGAGAGACTTAGCACTTACTGGTTCTGTAACTTTAGGCAAGTTGTAGAGCCTCTCTGGGTCTGTTTCCTGTATTAAAAAAGGGGATGATGATCATGTTTACATTATGGGCCTGCAGTGTAGACTAAGTAAGGTAGGTCATACAAAATAGCCATGAGGAACCACAGCCTTTAGCTTGGGGGACATGCCTACTAATGGTAAGATTTTGTTCTTGTTGCTACGATGATAAAGACAGGTCAGTCTTCTGGTTCCAGGGCAAAGCCATGCCATTTTTTTCTTACATGTGTCAACCTATGAACTTAGAGTCCTTAAAGTCACAGGAAATGAGACCCAATCTAACAGTGACAGTCGTACTGACTTGATTAAGTGGGTGAGACCAATTGAAAAAGTGTGGCTTGTCAACAAGCTTGTTTTGAAGGCTAGGTGTCCTAAGTCCTCAAGACTGACCCATGGGGCTTCAGCATTCAGGGCAGAAATACCTCACATGCATTATCCAGTCCAGTATTGTGGGCAATTCTAGATGTTTAAAAAGGGAAACTGACCATCTAGAAGTGACTATGAAACACTGACTGCAAGAGAAAGGAGACTTATGTGGTATGTCCTGTAAATGAGAGAGGCAGTGAGCCTGTCCTCTGTGGGGTTAGGGATGCGAAGCACACAGTCAGAAAGGAGGGATATTGATTTGCAGTGTGTGGCTTAAGAACTGCTAGGCTGATTAGAAAAGGTTTCAAAGAGAAAACTGGGATCTCAAATCTTGAATTATTTGAGCCAATGGGCTTGTCTCAGTAAAATTTCCTTTACTACAAGAAGGCAATTCTACTTACTGGAAAGGCTGTCTTTCTGGGAGGTCTTTAAGGAGAATCTTTATAACGGAAGAGGTGGGCTAACACTGCAATCTAAATACTAAGACATCTTTTCCTTTAGGCAGGGGCAGGTTTATTTATGCTCAGTGCTTTAAGTCTTTCTCCACTTCCTGGAGCAACTACATTTACTCACTGGTTCTGAAGTATAAATTTATATGTAAGCCCCACTAAAGAAGCAGCTACTCTACTGAAAAGGGTGTTCTATGGTATGAGAGGGGTTAAAAAACTTATATTCTCCCATCTAAGGAAGAAGAAAAAAAAACCCTCGTGTTTCTGAAAAGCAAAATAGGGAGGAAAGAATCACATGGAAATTCCAGTCTTTGAAAGTGCAGTGTGACATCCACTTCACACCGTTGCCACACAGCCACTCAAAGCAGTGGAAACTGGATGAGATTCCAAGCAGGCGGTTAGTGTGCCACCGAAGCATAACCAATGCCTCCGCTAAAACAAGCAAACACGAGGCTGAGCATGTTAACATAATTTTCTATCATCTCTATTTGATGTGGAAGGGATGGAAAATCTGGGATGCAAGCCATGATGTAGACTTTCAAAATTGATTAGCATTTTTGGGGGAGGCACTGGAATCCATTTCTGTAGCATTTCAATGCTGAGTTAAAATTGATTAGTACTGTTGGAAAAGTGTGTAACAAACTGAGGAGTGCCAATCGCAGACCCATGATAAGATAAAGGCTTAGGATGGCCTGTGAGATCCTTGGCACCAGGGCCACTCCAGGGAGCGAGATCTTGCAGGAGAGGGTGTAAATGGTTTGGTACAGTTGTAGATTAGCTGTTAGTACTTGTCCAACACTCAGACTCTACTTGTGACAATGCGTAAAATGGGTTGCATGCCTATAAGATAAAGGTTGTTCAGTTCTTTGTCATAACATTAATCACCGATAAACTCATTTCAGTTGTTAATCTGAAGCCACTGTATGAGTTTGTAGGAATGTTGATGTTCACTTCTCTTAGATTTTGGTGATTCTAGAACTGGCGTGGTACATGTTTTTATCTTTTCCATGGCAGTGTTTTGACTTCTTGATGCCTTTTTTTAGTTTTCTGGAGGCATTCGCAGTTGGTAGAGTCATTGTGTCCCTTCTGCGTTATCAAACATAGACAGAAAGTTAAGTATGGTAGAGAAGAGTATGTCTCACAAGAACAGGACTCTTCAAAGGTTGGTTTCTCTTGCTTGTGAGTAGTTGACATTTAAGCATTTTTTAGGCATTTATTTCAGACACTGCTGGTAATGGTTTTGTTGTTGTTGTTGTTGGGGTTTTTTTGCTGTTTTTTTTTTTGTGATAGTCAAGAACTGTGTTGTATGCAATTATTTTCATAATGAGATGCTAGCATGCAAATATAGTAGTTCGACCTAGTTTGTTGGAGTGCCTTTTGTCAGAACTTTGGGTCTTACAAGACTTTTATAGATAACATGATGTTATTCAGAGTCAGAGAACAGTTAGGTTTTAAAGAATCTTCTATGATGTGACATCTTTAAATGCTAATTAGTGAAAACCTTTAGTGATAGTAAGTGGAGAGGTAATTTGGTGATTTTCTCTGTTTTTCTCTGATAGCTTCATTGAATCAATTGTATCAACAGGATCTGTCAACAGATATAACAACTCTATCTTTAAAAAATTATGGTGTCATTGGGAAACACCATTTATGATGTCTTTCCATGTCTTATTTTCATCTTTGCATTGTATGTTTTTGAAATATACATACATACACACATACATACACACACACATACATACATACATACATACATACATACATACATCTATATATGTATATCTCTATGTCTCTCACATGGGCTGTCTGTTGGGATGATTACTTGAAGAGTTGTATTTTGTGGACTATTTTGTTGGATAATATATGATTTCTTAAGACTCACATAGTAATTATGTCCATAGAAGTGCCCCAAGACAACAACTTCTAGAATCAAGTAAATTCGACATTGTCACACTTTGGGGCTGGGGGTGGGGTCAGATGGTTAAAATGGACGAATGAATGGGTATTTTACACACGGATGAGAAATATGTAGAGGCCCACACAGAGGTAAGCAGGAGCCAAGGACAGAATTCCCAGGCATCTTGCTTCCTTCGTTAAAAGGGGAGGGGGAGTGGTTGCAACAAGGTTGGGGGCTAATGAGAAGAGGGATGTGAAGAGTTGCTTCTAATTCCCTCCATGCCAGCAGGCCTCCTGGCACCTCACAAGGGCATAATGTCCTCATTGTGCAAACTGCAGATAGAAAGATGAAGTTAGCACATGCTTAGGTTAAGCAACTTTTCTCTCTAGTTCTTCCTGACACTCAGGATATGGTGGCACATTTGCTAGAAAATTTGGTCTAAATAAGAAATAGTTGTTTGTGTGGCTGCTTTGTCACATGTGTGCCAGTAGGTGGCAGAGAGAAGAGAGGCTGTGTCAATGCTCAGTATACTGACCTATGAACATATGAGCGATTAGTAGCCTAACATTCCCTGAAAATAAAAAGTGAGTCTGTGATGACAATCAGTCCAACACAGTGCTAGCCCAAACAGCTCCCAGGATCAGAGCGAGGAGCAAGTCAGAGACTAGAAGAACCCTGCCTGAGACTGAGATCCCTGGGTGGTAATGAGCCCTGGATAGGTGACCCTAACATGGAGACACTCAGCTGTGTTGGGTGAGAAGAGATTCTAAGATCACCATCAGATTGGTGCTGTAAAGCCTGCACTGGGAGTTAGCCTGAGACAACTGCCAGGCCTAGGGGAAGGGGGACAGACCGTGCAGAAGATGATCCCTGCCTGGTACCATAACACACAACAGGATGAGCCTAGCAATCCTGAGGTCACTCCTGAGGCAACTCTAGACACTCAGAGACACTGAGCACCACTAAGAGGAGCAAGTAAGTGGTGAAGAAATGGAAGAGAAAGAGAAGAGAAGGATGTGGGCACAATGAAGAGAGGCAGAACTGGGGACAAGAGGGTAGTGAAGAACAGCGTGATGTGAGTAGCCAGTGATGCCACCTGGAACCATGGTAGGGTCTTGGCTTGTGCTGTCTCTAGAGTCATCTGAGTCTGTGGAACTGCAGTAGCTGGGATCCATTACCACCAAAGGCAAGGTGAATACCCCTGGCCTGGGGTACTGCTGGAGACATCTTGTTGTCTGAGGGCTAGGGGTGTGTGTGGAATTGACCCATCCCTCACCTTGGTATCATGGAAGAGCTGGCTCTGATGGAATGAGAGAAAGAGCAGGAGAGCTGTCTACATGTCTAGCCATTTGCAGCACTTGGGAGAGCAGCTCATACACATTAAGCAAGTTGTGGGTGAGCAAGCATGGGGAAACAGGCCCTACCAATAGTCTCTAATGCAGTGGGGCAGTGACATGGACTAGGGAGAGATACCCTCTTCCCCTCTCTCCCCTCATAACCTGCAGCAGACCTGAGACGTGGACCTGGGGTCATGAGAGCAGGAGAGCTGGCTAGGTCCCTCACCTGCTGCAGCACTTGGGAGAGCAGACCCTGTACCTGACTTGGACAGCACAGTAAATCTTGTCCTAAAGTAGGGGTTGGGGGTTGGGGGTGAGCCAGGCTCTAGGGCATGAGGGTAGATAGCCAGCCTACCTCTTGTTTGATGGGCGTTGGCTTGGCCAAGGGAGAGATGCCCTCTTTCTGTTCCTTGTTCCTCACCTTCTATGGCAGGCAGGAAAACTGGGCCTGATATCATGAGAGTCAGAGATATGGCCATGTCCCTCATCAGCTGCAACACTAGAGCTGGTTTTGGTAATGGGGGTAGGAGAACCTGCGGTCTATCCAGCTCAGACACTCACATGCCCAGATCCAGTGCTTTAAATTGGCCCACCTCAAAATCTATTGCACTGAGCACATGAAGGGGCCAGTTGAAAACTATGACATGGCACAGGGCAACAACAGGATATCTGAGAGGAGTCCTAGTGAGCTTCCAGTATTGATAGTGTAGCAGAAGCCAGAGGCCTCATACCAGACCAAGGACTCATCACAATAAATATTTGAAAGCAAAGAAGATGGACAAAAGGGTATACTGTAGGACAGACACACTGTGACACGTTACAGCTTCCGCAAAAAGATTTTTTTCTGAGTTCAGGGGATGTTACAAAGGAGGAGAGTGGGTATGAAGAGAAGGAGAGATGAATGGGATTGGGGTGCATGATGTGAAATTCTCAAAAAACCAATAAAAGTCTTAAAAAATAGTTATATTTACAGATCATTAAATTATAAAATGTTAGGAGGCTAACTGGACTTATCTGCTTGGAAATTCTTAATGCCTATTCTCAATTTTATTTTTATTTTCATTCATTCATTCATTCATTCATTCATTCTTTCTTTCTATTTATGGGGTTCTATTTCTATTTCTATTTCTATTTCATTCATTCATTCTGTTTATGGGTTTTGAAACAGGGAATAGAGTCTCATTGTGTACTCAGGATAGAGTTTAAACTGGTTATGTAGACCAGGTTGGCCTCAAACAGGAAGCAGTCTTCTTGCTTCCACTTCTCTGCCTCTTCAGTGCAGAGGTTGCAGGTCGCACTTTGTCACAGTGCTTGGCTTTCTTCTTTGCTTGCATATTTGCATATGAGACAGGGTCATGTTATTTAATCAAGGCTTGTCTTGAGCTCATGATCCTCTTACTTTAATCTTTCCAGAGTGCTGGGATTATAGACCTTGTACTACCACACCTGGCCCATTTAAACTTATTCTAATGATATAGACACTGTAGGTATTTAATAAATAATAGGTAAGTGAACAAATGTCCAAAATACCAGTGAAAGCTACTTGTATAACTGAAAAGCATAAAGAAATACCTAAATATAAATTATTAAAGTTTATACCACAGAAAATCCAATTTAAGGTAATTCTCCAGTAGGATTGTGTGGCATAGGCCTCTAATTCTAATACCCATGAGACTGAGAAAGGAGGCTTGCAAGTTGGAGGCTTTCTTAGGCTACACAGTGAGTTCAAAATCAGCCTAGGTAATTTAGTGAGACTTAGATTCAAAATAGAAAGTTCAAAATGGCTGGGGATGTAGCTTGGGGTAGACGGCTTCCCTGCCGGATACAATGCTCTGACGTCACTCTCCAAGACTCTAGAAAGAAAAAGAAAAAAAGAGTTTCTCCAATTCCTAAGGAAGGCATGGATTACAAAAGTCTCAAAGCTAACTGCTATTAGAGTTGTACTAATGAACTACTTTTGGGGGTGAGGGTGGGTATCCTGTAAATTGAAGGCCATGAGATCAGATCACATACAGATCAAATGAAGAAATTAGGGCACTGAAACGGGAATGGAGAATCAACGAAGGCCACACACACTGTCCTTAGGCATTGAAAAAGTAATCATGTAGGTGTCATATAGGAGAAAATTAATTTCGTTTTGGATATAATGAAAGGTCAGATTCAAGTCAATGTTTGAACTTACAACAAGATAGATTCCATGTGGGAAAGATTTCCGGCAGGTTCTTGGTTACAACAGTTGTAGAATAACTGACTTATCACAGATTTGGGCAAGTAGTTTAGGGTGTTCCAGTCACTTCATGACAAGGTCCTTACCAATCCTCAGGTGATCTTAGTTCTTTGTTTATGTATGGTTGAAATGCTTCCCAGGAAAGGGCAAAGCAAACTGATTTCTCAGGAAACTATATCATCAGAAAGGCTACAGAATTTGCCTGTCATTCTTAGACAGCTTAGCTTGTAGCCAGAGAAGCATCCTACACAATCCTTCCTTGTGTCTAGATTTCAGCCATCACTGGGCTGGACAGGGCTGCTTCTCTCCTGCACCCCACTAACTCCATCACCTCCCCTAGCATCAAGCTTTCAAATGTGCAGTGTTGCTGATGCTGACACATATTGCTAACCTTGAGCATCTGGCTTCATCTTAGAGAACTGATGGTGGGTCATAGGCATCTTTGTGGCCTGTTCTGAGCCTATGGACCTGAATTCTACTGGGAGTCTTGCTCCCTTCTGATGTCAGCTAGAGTGTCACTCCTGCCAAGCTGTCAGGTTTGGTAGTGTGCCAGGCTGCTGGAGGAATAGTCAGTCAGCTAAATATGGAATGGAGGATAAATGTGCATCTTGCATTCATTAAAATCCACAGAAACTACTTTGTCTGATACTCCCCAAACCAAGATGGCAGAAAGGACAAAAATTAGCATCACCAGTATGAATAGCTGTGAGGATGAGAGGGTCATAGTACTCTCATGAGAGAGTAGAAGAGTTTGCGATTTTTTTTTCTAAAACGATTTGAGTTTCCCTGTTAATTATGAGCTAGTTTTCACATTCTGGGCACACATATCTCTGACTGGTTGTCAGGGATTCTATAGCAATAAATTATACTCCGAAGTCTCTACTTCCATAGAAGATTTCCATTTCAGGGGGAAAAAAAAGAGATGCCTTCAGACATTGCATTTCAGGGTGATAATTGTGCTTCTCAGGTGGTTAAGAAAGAGATGATCTAGAAATAGTAATTAAAAAATTGTGCCCTGGGGGGAATGGGAATGTCAGGCTTGGAACTAAAGCATATGAAATGATAGACTTGTGGCTTGACCTTGCTCCTCTGTATTCAGTGTCATAAATTCTAAGTATATTTATACTTCAATATTTGGAGATGACAATTTGAGCTTTAGATAGGAAAAAGTGAACATTTGTTCTGATGTGTTAAACTAGCTCTCTGATGACAAAGTGTCTTCCTATAAATGTTAGGAAGTTACTGTGAAATGGATACTCATAACTCTTGCATGCTCTTCTCTGTACTTTACAGGCATGTGTCTTGGAGAGAAGACATAGTTACTCCCATCCTGATTCTGAAAGGTTAGGAGAGGCTCAAAACACTAGAATTAAAATATGGTGATCCCTGACCATGGTGAACTCATATGTGTACATACTCTGAGCATAGAGGTTTGGTGATGGTGTGTGGGAAGCAGGGTATCCATGATGACTTGTCCCCATTGCTCTGCTAGGCTGACTTATGTGAGCAGAGATGGAAGCAGGTGATGGCTGCTTCATTTTATCCAGATCCCTACTGGAGTATATCACTCACTTCATTTCTGCTATGTAACTGGACACTTCATCTGTTTGGGGTCATGTTGCTTTAGATTTTTGACGTCCCAACCATTTCTGCGTTTTGTAGATCAAAAGAAAGTCCACATTCACAAAATGAAGATAGAATGTGTATGATCATTGACCTTCCACATGCTCTATAAGAAGAGGGCGATTGAGAAGGATTGCAGATATAAAGCTCCTTTTCCAAAGAAAGTCATACTCGTTTGAGAATTGTGTATGCAGGAAGGGAATGACTAAATAGCAGAAATTGTGCTCCAATACAAGCATAGGTGACACGTGCTTGATAGAGAATCCAGCATCCAAGGCAAGCATTAAAGACTGAACAGACTAGTGCCCATTCAGAAGAACAGGGAATAAAATTCTGTGGAGTAAAACCAGACAACAATTATGCTTGGGATTTGATAGGTGGC